ATTTCTTCATTATTATTATTTTCATCATCAACATATGATTAATAGTCGTTTACTTGATTTATTATTCAATACAACTATTAAAATGTGTATGTATTAGATGACAATATTGTTATAAAGAACAAAATATTATATTAACATATATAATTAGTATTTAATTAGAATGGAATATAAGAGAAATCGAATGAAAATTAATATTAATTTTACAATATTATTCAAGTAAGATAGTTATTTAATGAAATATATTTTACTAGTTAAAAAAAAATTATAGCGTCTGTTGAGTTACTTGTGAAAATATTCTGTTGTTAATAGACTTGAACAATGTTATTATCGGAAAAGCTAGATTTACAAAAATATATATATATATATATTATAAAATGATCTAATCTCACAGGTTCGATATTTTTTCTAAGGCTTTACTGGTCATATACTTAAGAAAAAAACTATGTACACTTTTTCTACAAACATTGTTTGATTGTTCAATATGATAGCAAAGTCTGAATATGAACACACTTCTCAATAATCAAATAATAGTTTTGAAAAAGAAAGCATAAATTTTTTTCTACTTGTTTATCAGTCGAATAAAGCCATTAGAAAAAATATATATCGAACCTAACGAGATTTGATGTTTTTGATGTATTTCAGTTTTCGTAGACTATTATGGAATTCTTCTCGTACTAAACCAGGGTTGCCAGATCGAAAAGTTAGAAATCGAAATGTTTTAACCAAAATTCGAAAAAATTCGGAATTTTTTATATTCTACTTCGGAAAAAGTTCGGAAAGCAGTTGTTTTACTATCAAATATATATACCACCTTTTTTATGGATATGTGTTGCTCTATCAACATTTTGTGCAAAAATTGTTACCGATATACTTATTTCTTTCTTCAATCTCACTTAAATTCATATCTGAATTATCATCTTCATCATTCATGGCTGAATTTAATTCAGGATAACAAGAGACAATTTTCATGTAAAAAAACACTTTTCTAAACTCAAAGTTCAGTCCATGTCAAAGAAGTTATTGATTCGAATGACATTTTTTTAAACAATACAAAGTATTCATTGAGTTCAGATAGATTCTAAACTCAAACGATCTTACATTATAAATAGTCTCAAAATTGTATTATGGAATGATTACAGTAGAACAACGACAGCGCAAGAATTGCTAATGAAAGTTAAATTAGAAGTTATAGCCAAAGTCATTAAATCTCGAATCTAGAGAAATAACAGATCTCGAAAAAATATTCAAAATTCGGAAGATCTGGCAGCCCCGTACTGAACAAATCATTCATATTGTATTCTTGTGATCCGATCGAAGTCGGACGCCTATTGGATTTTAATTGCAACAGTGATGGACTAGTTTAATTTTCTTGTATTACATTAACTCATCTATACAGATCGTTACTTGCATTTTCGAATGAACTATTTTTTTGTAATCAATTCCAATATTATTTTTAATATAGCTTTTATTTTTTTCTAATTGATTTTAGAAAATTTCATGCTAAAACAATGGAAGCGATTCATACATTAGATAAAAAAAGAAGAATCCTCGTTTTTATGCTTATCTTAATGTAATTTTATTTCATTGAATAGTTAATGTAAAAAATAAAAATTATTTCGAATAGATTCGTGAACATAACATGGAATTAGGTGAACAATATTGAGCTGTATTTAATGATACGACTTATTCAACGTTTACTTATATATACATCAATAAAACATATTGATTATCAATTATTAATTGATTCATTGGGTAAATTACGTGAAATAGCAAAAAAAAAATTAAATGAACAAAGTGGAAAAACGGAAAAACATTTATCAATGTTTAATATTATTCATATTATTGATAATTGTCGAGTAAGAAAATGATTCCGATAGTGTTAAGTACGTTTTATTGTCGTTAAATTTTAGTCAGAGTTTCTTGCTGCACATCATGATTATATAGAAAAATTTCAAGTTATTGAACTTCAATAAGAATTACCAACAATACAACTACATTTAACTCGTTTTCTTTTCTCCGATTGTCTTGAATATATGTGAAAAACATTCGTTATAAAAATATATTGCACTTATTCAATTGGGGAATATTCAAAGTTTATTTGATATTAATCCATAATCATTAACAATTGATGATAAAATGATTAAATGTTTTTTTTTTGTAGAACTCGCGTTACGTTTTTCTTTTCGAAGAAAAATAGGATGAGTGTAAGTTTTAGAGACATGCGACACGAAAATTTGAAAGTTTGCCGAATTCTTACTCGTAATATTTTTCATTATAATTTATTTCACATTTCTCATGGTATCTTGATAGTGATCATTTATGAATGTGATCATAATAGACTTTTACTTTAAGAGTACCAATTATAAGAGATCAGACCCATACTCAACGAGCTCTATCGAGAACTATGAGAAAAGCAGTTATCTCAACTGGCACTAAAGGTTATATAGTTATATATTGTATGTCTTTAAGTGTATAAATAAAAAGAAAACGAATATAGAAGAAGTTTTTAGATGTGATACGATTCAACAGTGGAGTAGTTTTCTCTAGACAAAAACCCATACCCACATCCTTTACAGGAAATGGTGAAAGAAACTCATCCGAAAGAAGTAAAGAAAGACAAAGATGAAAAAAATATGAAAATCATATTAATTTCGAAAACAAAAACGGGTAAAATTTGATTTCTCATGTATTCATTTATAATCTAGTAAAAAATTTTCACTTCAAGTATTTGGGAGGAGTATAATGAGACTAAAGAACACATGTCAGTTCTACATTATAGTCCTCAACGAGCTGCACTGACGCAATCTCTACATGATGACATTCATAGTCACTCATCCATGATGGCTACTCTAGACATGAGCAGTAGTACCATGTCTAGACTCCACCTGTAGAGATAATCCATCTCACTTTACTGCATTTCTAATTATTAAATATTTGAATTTTCAAACTCAACGGAGTAAAAAACAAGATTCTCTTCATTCTTACTTAGATGGTCAGAAAAATCACAACTAACTACAGGTTCTATACGTTCGAAACGAACACTTTCAATTTATTAAGTATATTTTGATCAAGTCAATTAAAATCTTCTTTGTTTAACATTGATTGTAAATCAGTTAATTTAGTAAGTTCACGAAATTCTTTTATAGTAAATGACAATATTTAAATTAGTCTACATCGACCAACAAGTATCATATGTTGTATTCGACTTTAACGAAGTGTATCAAATACTACGGTATCAGTAATACCTGTTTTAACTAAACCTTCGATAGATAAAAGAAGAATTTTGAGTACAATCAAAAGCTACATTTCCCAATTCTATAATAATAGTTTGATCTGTTGTACAATCAAGTTATACTCAAAATTGAGCATTTTCTGGCATACTTGTTTGAAAAGGGTGTGGGTGTGTGTGAGGTGTGGATGAAGACTATATTCATATGCATACCCAGACCCACACCCACACCCTTTTTTCTTTCAATCCTACAGGCAACACAAGTTCTGTATTATCAAATACATTGTCATAACTAAAATGATTGAAATACAACGTTGATAACTAGCGGCCTCTGATAAGCGCTTCATCAATATGAAGGAGATATGCAACTTGTTCAATGGCGATTTTGTGTATATAGCTTATCTCAACCTTCTTTTGGTATATTAAATACACGTTGTCAACATTTATTATTCTAAAAAAAAATGTTTTATAATAATTATATATTTTGGAAGAGCAGATATATGTAAAGAACAATGATATATTATTTGACACTGTATTAACGTGGCGATTATACCATAGAAGTATACGCAACTATCATCTATATTTGTTCGATGAGTCATTTGCAAAAGTACTTTTTTTATTAATGACAAGTTGTGCAATTACTACTCAGGAAGTAAACAACGGTAAAGAAAAACAACTTCTAAAAATGGCAATAGTTAGCATCATCATGAAAATCATAAGATTTCGAAAAGTAAAACGATAGATTAATAACTTTTTTTTTTAAAATGTAAAATATACAGTACGCTTTGTTATGCCGTTTCATACTCATAAATTTTACAATTGTACCATATGTATAATTAGGTATGTTTATTGGAGTGAAACAAATCAGTGTTTCTAATGGAAATCTAAAATAAAATGTACAGTACACTCTGTTTTTATATGAGCAAAGTGTATATGTACACATGTTTTTCATAAGCAAAATGTACCATAGTGTACAAAATCATATTCTCATATAATGTTAACAAATTAAAAAAAATATTCATATCTAATTTACTGTGTAAAAAGATACATCAATATTAAAATGAACAAATAGAGGAAAAAGGAAGAAGCAATTTTGTATTCAATTCATTTAGGAAGATTGACTACACCAATGTACAACATTAGAATCTATGATTTGCTATTTGTCGAAATTCAAAATAATCACAAAAATTAATCAAAACTAAATTGAATTCGTTTTAATTTTCAATTTTAACCTAAAATGTAAAAGTAATTACCGAAATCTTCAGTCATAATTCTTCGCTTAGGAACATCTTGGAAAGTAAGATAGTTTTTTTTTCTTTAGAAAAAGAGCAAAGTCTGAGCTACAAATTCTTCATCAACCGTATTTTTCCAGAACGAATTTAAGAAGGAGAAAAAGTCAAAATCTTTATAATTGTATAGTGAAAACTGAATTTAGTGGTATAGTCTGTTTAAAAAGTCCGTGCGTGTGACTGTTTTTTGAATAACTCGAGAACGCAAACAGCTAGAGATCTGCAGTTTTCACCAATCGAAAGAGGAGGAGTTAGAGCGTCTTTCTCTCTGATAATGTCTCAGACGAAATTCTTTTAAAGCCGATCATCTTTGAAAAATATAGAAAAGAATGCATGAAAGTGACATATAATATACATGAGGCTTCGATTATGACCTTTGATTTAGATAGAGGAACTTCAGATCTATAGTTCAAAACATAATACACTTTCTTACGTTTCATTACATTTTCATTGAAGTATCCAGCTGTTTTGACAAAAAATGCAAAAACGTAGTAAA